ATACAGATATAATATAAATTGGTGGTTGCAAGGGGTTAGAGGAGGGGAGGTAGAGAGTGACTGGTAATGGTTATAGGTTTTCTTCTTCAGTGATAAAACAGTTCTAAAATTGATAGTGGTGATGGCTGTACAACTCTGAATACATTAGCCACTGAAATGTATGCTTTAAATGGATATGGTATATGAACTATATCTCAAAATTGTTTATAAGAAACCTGTATAGACATTTTTAGGTACTATACGCGATTAAAAGTTGATAGACTCCATCTCTGGACAGGATCTAAAGGGAAACAGAAAACAACTCCTCTGGAATCAGTACTCAGTTTAAAGCACGTCATTATATATTAGCGATGCTTTGAGATAAGTTCTAAAGATTTATGCTTTCAGACAGCATAATTTAAAAACAGCTTACAGGGGCGCCTGGGTGGCTCAGTGGGTTAAGCCTCTGCCTTCAGCTCAGTCATGATCTCAGGGTCCTGGGACTGAGCCCCACATCAGGCTCTCTGCACAGCAGGGAGCCTGCTTCCCCCCTCTCTCTCTGCCTGCTTCTCTGCCTACTTGTGATCTCTCTTTAAAAATAAATAAATAAATAAATAAATAAATAAATAAATAACAGCTTACTATGGCAAGAACTACTGATCAGATCTGTGAAACTTCTATACTCAAATTCAAAGTACAGTTCCTTACCTTACCTCTCAAAGTACAATTCCAAGATGATATAACCCAACAGAGGGTCAGGATGGAGAAGCAGTAGCAACATCTGGTATAGGATTGGGCAATAGAAATAATTTATGTAAAATATTCTTGAAATCTTACGGAATAAATTCTGATTTTAACTTCCATTTGTGTAAGAACTTACAAAGGAATAGTAAAATAGAAAACAATTTCTCCATATTCATGGATATACATTTCATATCATTTCATACTATCTCTGAATTGTGAATAGGTACTGCATGCTAATCAAATTAAAAGAATGCCCTTTTATAGAAGTTGCTTAACTGCATCCTGGACAAAGGAATTCTGATCTGGTTCAGTAAGTAAAAAGTGCTTTAAGACATAGAGATGAGGCATTAATCTGAGGATCGGACAAAAAGTGCTCTTCAGCCTTCAGATACCCTCTTTTAAGGGGAACCCCACACAATGCTTGTAGTATATCCCATTTCATATTCTGCTCCATTAACATAATGACTAAAACTGTCATGTAGGTCTCTTAAGAATGTTCTGCCTAACATTATCTACATTCAATTCTAGATGACCCTTTATGACCACTAATAAGCCAGCTTCTTTATGGCAGTAAACAGCTAGCCTACTCAAAAGTATATTCTTGGTATTGATACTGCCTTTTAAAGGCAAATATAATTCACAGAATTTAAAAAAAAAAAAAACACCTAACTCCCCAAGGAAAGCAGTTTTATCACTTCCAGAGAACCTCATAACCCAAAACTAAAAGTATCCATGTCCCTTTAAGACTACATCAACTAAAACCATTTTCAGGTTGGACTTCTTAGCCACCAAAAACTCAGAGCCTTTCCATATATATTTCTCAGGCACCCTTCCACGACCTACCTGTTAACCCACAAAATACATACCTCAACCAGCTTGAGGGTCCCTCCAAACCATGGAGAAGGAAGAAGGGAAGGGAACATCAACTGTGGTATTTTGTTTACCCCTCCTCAAAACACCCTGGTTCCACAGCAAGAGGGGCTGGAGAGGCAGAAAGTATAAAATGCCCGCTATTGATAGTTGCCATCCTTGCCTCAAGAGAAGGGGTAAAATAGTACTAAGGCTGAATCTATACAACAATTAGGATTTTAGCAACCTCTGTAATGTCTTTTGGCACAAACTTACCTCAAAGGAATCATTAGGACCAAGCAAATAAGGTCAACAGACTTAATAAATAGGTGGGATTGAGTCCTAAAGATTAAGAGGAACAGGTGTGTACACTTTCTTAAAAGGTAAGATTCACTCAAGAGCCTACAAGTCATAGTTATGGACTTGCCATAGCAAGGAAAGTATGTTATAGTTTGTAGAGAAAGGAAACAAAGCCAGAAGGAAAAGTACTGATGCAGCAGAAAAGGATCTAAAGCAGGACTTCAAGAGGATTTGATTAAAGATAACCATTCAAACAAAGGTAAATTGAGAAAGAACATAACAGGAAGATTTTAAAACCCAAACTGGTTACCTCTCAGGAGGAAGATTAGGATCTAAGAAATATTCTAACAAGATTTCTACAAACCAAACAGCTGCTGATGGGGCAGGGGGTGGGGGGAGTCATTTTCTAATTTTCTAATTACCAAAGGAGAAACCAAAAATAAAGGGAAATACCCCGCAGAGAAGCAAACAGAACAGAATCACCAGGCAAACAACTTGGAAAACTAAATATCCAAACAACTCACTAAAGAAAACTAGACAGAAAAGTACCAAAAAACAAAACAAAATAAAACAAAACCCTAGAAAAACCACAGCAGAGAAGAAACTAGAAAATAAGGAATGAGAAACCTGAAGGATAAGCCTTACTGTGAGATGAGTCACCTCAAATCTTACAATATTAACAGAAAATGCCATAGAAATGGAATCTCCAAACTAGCAACTAACCCAAAGCCCAGCCCTTTATTAAGGTTTTTCTTTCGAAGCTCAATCCAGATATTTCCAACACTCAGTTACATTTACCAAGCACCCAGTAAGCTCAATGCTGAGCACCCCACTGAAATATGAATGCTATACTTCAGGTTGACACACTATAATAACAGTGTTCAGCAACTGTCTCGAACTTCATCCCACAGATTCTTTCCACCAAGGCACAAATGTCCTAACATTTCTAGGCCTCAATTTCCCCGCTATAAAATGAGGGAGCCAAACTAGATGAGATGAACTACAGGATTCTCCTCATTCTTGAAATGCTATACCTAATGACAGAACAGTTTAAAGTCATCTGTGGGTATAAAATTTGAATCTGAGAACAAACGATTTAAGTTTATACTGCCATTCCAGAGCTAACCACAGGGAGGAGTGAGGGATTTGAAGAAATTCCCCAGGGAGACAGTAGTATTAGGCTGTTACCTGAAGCCCACCTAGTTAAGCAATCAACCCTTAATCCCAGAAATAATTAAGGGCATTTCCCTGGCCCTTCTGCTTAGATCTCACAACACTCTTCACAAAGACAGGTCTTACACACGTCTTTCTCCCTTTCTCCCTGCATGGTTTCCCCTATTCTCCCTTATAATTTCACATCCATTTTGCCCAATTCTACTTCTTTCTATCCAGAAATTTTCCCTTTTCCTTTTATCCAGAAGAAGTTTTCTAGAAAAGAAAAAAAAAATCAGTTCTTTGTAGGTTATGATGGAATGATTGCAAATCAAGGAAACTATAAACCCCAACAAGCACAGGCAAATGACAATTGCAAATTAAGTCTTAGAAAAATTCCGAGGAAAAAATACCAAGCATAATAAAAAAAAGGAGTGATACCGATCGACACTACTGAAGTTTTCCAAAGGTCGTAAAAGGCCCTGATGAGAATACAAACGACTGACAATTCCCGGAGGTCAGGTCAAGCCTCTGAAATTAACATTCGGTGACCAGAGCCAAGCAACTAGGTGTTTAAGAATTTGAAACAGACTGCTCGCCCAGGCTTCTTTCACTGTCAAACTCCTCGTCCAAAGAGGCCTCTCACAGCACACATTTAAGGAAGAAAAAAAAAAAAAAAAGTAGTCATGCCCGTCTATTCTCCTCATCCTCGCAAAAGTAAATGAATAAACAGTCCCTCTTTTCATCTTCACTCCCACACTACACCTCACACCGTTTATGAGCCTGGAGGGCTGGGTTGGCAGGAGAGGATGGCGCGAAGGCACGGGGAGAGGGCGGTCAGTGGGCGGAAGGTGCCTCTCCCCACATGGCCGAGCTCTCGCCGCCAAACCGGCCACCGAGACACGGTTCCCAAGCACCGGTAGTTCCCTCTCGGGCCCGGGCCCACTCTCGCTGCCGCCGGTCAAACTGCCGCCGCAGCTGCAGCTGCAGGTTTCTGATACGGACCCTTCCCGGGGGATGACCCCATCCCCCCCACCCCCGCTCCCCTCCTCCGTCAGGTTCCCGCCCTGCAGCGGCCCGCCTCTGGGCCTCTCCCGCCTCACCTCCATGGAGACGCGCCAGCCTTGCATGGCGGAGAAGCCGTAGGGCAGCGGCAGGCGCGAAGCGCCTACCCCGTCCCCGGAGCACTTCACCGTGTTGGGCTGGGAGAGGTAGGCACCCATGGCGGCGGCTGGCCGGCGGCCTCAGGGGCAGGCGACCGGGGCGCGACCCGTGCCGGAGCCGGAGCCCCGGGGGCGCGCGCGTGGCAGGAGCGGGCCCGGCTGCACGGCCGACACAAGGTGCCGGTGAAAGGCGCGAGGCCAGCGAGGAGGCGGTAACGGGACGGGAGCAGAGAGGGAGCGGAAGCGGAAACGGCGCTGCTTCAGACCCCGCCCGGCCGGCGCGGCGCGGCACGGCGCGGCGCTGCGGGTAGTCATTTCCTTAGCAACTCGCCCCGCCCGCGGGGACAACGGCCCGCCCAACCGCCGCTCCCGCGAGACTGGCGCGATCACGCCCACCAACGGCCGCGGCTTTCCTCCCGCGGCCCGGCGAGTGGCTTGCCATATGTAGCTGTCCACCAGCTGTCCCTCGCTACCCCGCCCTGCCTTCGCCCCCGTACTCCGGCCTCTCGCGTGTTTGTCGTAGCTCTTTTGTGTGGCACCCAGCCCTCCCGATCCATCCTCCAGTGCATCAGTCCCCTCTCCCCACCGCGCGCTCAGGCTCCGCAAACCCGCCCAATTCGGCTCTATTAAAGTTAACTAGTATTTGTTCCGAGCGCAAGAAGTGCCTGGCCTGGCCTTATTAGAGAGTCTTTTTCTGACTAAAGGAAATGAAAACCTCAATCTGTAACATCATTCGAGTTAATACAATACAGAAATATTTGGCACAGTCTCTGCTGGGTGAGAAGAAATCAGAGGAGAGGCGGACGAGCTGTTGCAGGACGTCCTCTGGTTGCCCCAGAAGTGCTTTATGCCTCAGAGAAGAGAATAATGTTACAAGGTTGCAGGGGTGAGAAAAGAATGTCAACTGCCTTTAGCAGGATTTTGGAGGAAGCTGGCTGGCCTCGTTGGAAAGCGATTTTAGTATTCGATAGATAGGGTAGAGAAGGTTATGAGCGCCAAGATGGGTGACTTGGACTTCACCATTATCCTGGTATACTTTTTTGGGACTGTTGGTCTAGTCTTTGTGTGCAGTCTAGATTGGAGGAACAAAGTGGAGACTAACTGGTTAAAAGGCTCTTAATCGAAGCATGAGATGGGAAGGGCTGGAACTGAGGTGGTGGCAGTGGGAATAGAGATAAACAAATGAGACAATAAGAAACGAACAGGATTTAGTAGCAGATTGGATTCAGGGAATGGAAGAACAAGGAGAAATCCTCCAAACTATGAGCAGATTGACTCTCTTAAAATTCAATACTAATTATACTTCCTCCTGCTATACAGATAGTCCAAATTCTTTAACATAGTTTACCAGACCCTTCATGCTTGAACTAATTCTAACATATCTCTCCCACTTTCCATTTCCACTACAAATCAGTGTATTCAGCAATACATCCTTGGATTCCTCCAAAACCATGTTTCTCCTATGCCTTTGCCTATCAAATACACTTCCATACCCACCCACCTTTGTCACCCTCCAAGAAGTCTTCTCTAATATCCATAATCTAGTTAGGGTAGGTTCCCCATTTGTTAGTCTTTCCTAAAGCCTATACAAAAGCAAAAACGCTATCAAACTTACTGTATACCCCAGCATCCCTAGCACAATCTTTGTATGTGCTCAATATCTCCCTTGAATGAATAATACCAAAGTTTTGACCCTGAATGACAAAAATTCGTGGAGCCATTAACAGAAAATGGTGTGGCGTGGGTTGGTGTGTATTTGCTAGTTTGGGGAGAAAATGGTGGGTTCCGTTAAAGGTGACAATTAGATATCTAAACACTGAACCCACTGAAGTTAGGCTGAGGGTAGAAGATGTTAGTTAGGCCTATAGGTCCTAATGAACATAGATGAGATCTCTGGACAGGGCAGGGTAACAGGCATGAATGACTCAGCCTCTTTTTCCCTCCCTAACTATGGAATGTGACATTGTGAAAAAACACACGTGTTTTGGCATATATTAATCTATGTGGTCTTTCACAAGTTGTTATTCTCTCTCAGGCTCAGTTCCTCAAGGAAAACAGACATACAATATTTACTTTTTCCAATTGCTTTAAGGATAAGAGGAACTAATACAAAGTGCTGAGTTTGTATAAATGCTGAATTCAACAACGTACTACCATTTAAGTATCCACATACACATGATAAATATGGGATACACATGACATTAAATTATTTGGAATTATTTTTACAAAAAATAGAGGATCTGAAACAAAATGAATAACAGACAAGGAAAAAAGTGGAAAAAAATACGACTCAGGAAAAAGCAAGGTTGGAACGCCTGGGTAGCTCAGTTGGTTAAGCATCTGTCTGGCTCCTTGCTAGCAGGGAGTCTGCTTCTCCCTCTGCTGCTCCCCCTATGTGAGCTCTCTGAAGTGTGCTCTCTCTCTGTTAAATAAATAAAACCTAAAAAAAAAAAAAAAAAAAAAGCAAGGTTCTGGGAAGGTGGCAGTGTCTCAGAGAGGGGAGGTGGAGATTTTAAGGGGGCTCAGAGAAAGACATGGGAAAAGAGACAAAGATTATTAAGATTATCCTCTCCTTAGCCATCCCCATTCTCCCCAAAACCACTAAAATATGCTTCCAAGGACACACAGATTTCATGCTTTGATAGGAAGCAAAAAAAAATTTTTTTTAACTAAACCCAAAACATTATATTAGTAGATTGATTTTCCTGAGTCTTTAAGCTATGAGCTTCAAAAATGTGACTAATCAAACATAGTCACAGAAGAAGCTCCTAAACATGTACTTTAGGGACTGGCCCAATGACACAAAGGTCTCTAAAATATATAGCAAGCTGGGGTACCTGGGTGGCTCAGTTGGTTAAGTGGTTAAGTGTCTGACTGTTGACTTTGGCTCAGGACATGATCTCAGGTCATGATCTCAGGGTCGTGAGATCTAGCCTAGAGTGGGGTCGCTTGCTCACCCGGGAGTTTGTTTGAGATTCTCTCTCTCCCTTAACCCCTCTCCCCGGCTCATGCAGGCCTGCCTACCCCCAGAAATCTCTAAATAAATAAAATCTTTAAGATATATGCCAAGTTTATTAAAAAAACAAGAGATAAATGATTGGTTAGTGGTACATAAAAATAACTAAGCATTTGGCAATTCCTACACATACAAATCTAAAGCCCAGTATCACCTTTGCTTTAGTTAAAGAAATCAAGAGATTGCTTGTATTTTCTTAGCTCGCAAACTGGTCAAGCACTGAAGATAAACTAACAAATACTAGCCATTTTTTTAAAAATTTTATTTATTTGGCAGAGAGAGAGAGAAGGAGAGCACAAGCAAAGGGAGTGGCGGGCAGAGGGAGAAGGAGAAGCAGGCTCCCTGCAGGAAGTCCAGCACCGGGCTCCATCCCAGGACCTTGGGATCATGACCTGAGCCAAAGGCAGACACTTAATCAACTGAGCCACCTAGGTGCCCCCAAATACTAGTCATTTTTAAAACAGTTTTGTTTCTCTTAGCTTCTCATGAGCCTCTTTCAAGTTATCTCTCATGAGAGAGGAGAAAACAGGAGAAGGTAGTTCAAGGCAGTGTTTTCCAAACATGAGAAATTGTGAACCACTGAGACATACTTCTGCAGATCCCAAGGGATTCAAGGGACACCCCTCCCCACCCCATACCCACCCCGCCACGGCCAGGCAACATTGCCTTGAAATTAAAAGTTTAACTTCAGAGTCTAATGTGACACCAGTTCAATTCAAGATCACTCAAAATATAAAGTGTTAATCCAGATGGTCCAAAATCAGCTAACATATTATAAAACTTAAAGTACAAAGTTTTAAAATGCTCATAGAAAATTCACAGTGGCAAAAAAAAAATAAAATAAAAAATATATAAGGAAAGAAAATTCACAGTGACTTGGAAATACAAGAACCCCCAGAGACTGGCCAACCACAGACTGAGAAATTCAACCTGCACACGGAAGATGTTAAGTGGGGAGAGAATGAGAGGAGGGTGAGAAGTTGGGAAGCAGTCCTACCAGTCTTCCCTGCCCTCCCCGGGGTTTTCCTGAGTTCCTAACTCTGTTTTTGACTCTTTATGTACTTCCTTCACATTCTGTTTCTGATGATATTTTACTATTCATAAGATATTGAATTTGGAAGCTCAGCAGTTGTGTGTGTGTGTGTGTGTGTGTGTGTGTGTGTGTTTGAGATTTTATTTTTAAGCAGTCTCTATACCCAACATGAGGCTCGAAAACCAGGGATCGGGAGTTGTGCGCTATATCAACTAAGTCAGCCAGGCACCCCAGAAGCTCAGTAGTTTTTGACACTATATTCTTTCCTGTGTGTGATTAAAGGTAAAAGATTGATCCAGGGAAGGGGAAAAAAGTGTGGGGCAGGATTTAGAGCTAGGAAAGAAGAAATGCAGATATTTTGACATTATTAGGAAAAAAAGGGGCAAGAGTCCATTTCTGAGGTTCTGGGCCAATCCATACTCCTCTTCGTACTCCCTAAATTTTAAAAGGTGCCCAATAAATGAAATTTTTTTTAAATGTCAAAGAAGTGTTCTTTTTTTTTTTTTTAAGATTTTATTTATTTGACAGACAGAAATCACAAGTAGGCAGAGAGAGAAAGGGGGAAGCAGGCTCCCCACCAAGCAGAGAGTCTGATGCGGGGCTCGATCCCAGGATCCCGGGATCATGACCTAAGCCAAAGGCAGAGGCTTTAACCCACTGAGCCACCCAGGTGCCCCACAAGTGTTCTATTTTAAAGTTGCAGTCTTCTCAGGCACCTGGCTGTCTGGGTTGAGCGACCGACTCTTGGTTTTGGCTCCGGTGATGATCTCAGGGCTGTGGATCCAAACCCCTGGTTGGCTCCTTGCTCAGCAGGGAGTTGGCTTGAGGATTATTTCCCTATGCCCCTGCTCTCTCTCTCTCTCTCTCTCTCTAAAATAAATAAATCTTTGAAAAAAAATTAAAGTTACAGTCTTCTATTTCTAGAAGGCCAGATCTAAATTCATCTTGCAGCCATCCACCTTTACTCCTGGAAATCACCAGAATGGGCCCTCTACACATATTAAAGGAAATATCCCACCTTTATCCTAAAGAAAATCTTGAAATGACATTAATCAAAATTCAGATCTCAAACTGAGATACTGGAGGTGTTTTGTTTTTGTTTTTAAGATTTTATGTATTTCAGAGAGAGAGGGAGACAGAGAGAGCAAGTGGGCATGAAGGGGAGAGCCAGAGGGAGAAACAGACTCCCTGCTCAGCAGGGAGCCCGCCAAGGGGCTTGATCCCAGAGCCCTGGGATCATGACCTGAACCAAAGGCAGCCGCTTAACTGACTGGGCCACCCAGGTGCCCCTGGAGGTAATTAATTAATTAATGTATTAGTAACATAAAATATTTTGCAGGACTGTGCCCTTGAAGAGAAAAAGAGACTGTTTCCCCGCCTAAATAAGAATATAGACTGGAATGTCTCTTAAGAAAATCCTTACTTGTTCTTAGGAGATCTATGTATGTTTTTATTCAAGTGTTTGCTCACAGGTGATCACAAAACTGGAGCCCCCACCGAGGAGTGTGTGAATCTTAACCTGTGTACCTTGTATAAGAGAACAGACTGGCCTGGAAACTGGCAGATCACAAAATGGCGTTACGTACAGCCAAATTACCCAAAGTCTGGAAGGTGTCCGTGACTCCTGGGACTGTGTTAATAAATCAGCAGGCCAACGTGGAGGTGAGTTTCCCCACCCCCTAAAAAAAAGGATAGTTCCTCAATCAAATATTCTAGAGTGGGAATAGGCAGGCCTTGAGTTAGAAAAGAAAGATTCTCTCTTGACTCATGCCTAATACGGGCATTAGGATTCCAAGAAGTAGCCCAGCCCAGAGCTCCTACAGGGAGAAGGAGGCCCGCTGAGCCGGCTCTGCCTTATCAGGGATCAGAAGAACAGCCACTTCTAGTGGAAGCTGTGGGGTCCTCTTTGTTTTTAATGTCTGTGCCTTTGCGTCTTGTTAAATAGTTAAAGCTTTGGGGAATAAAGTAGAGATCTAGGTCCAGTGGGTGGGACCAAAGGAAGTGATGGCAAAGTTCAAGAGGGGCAGTGTCTGGGAGCAAGGACAGCTGGCAAAAGCGACAGTAATTTCCAGGGAGGATCTGTGGCATACTTAACCATTCCTTAGGGAATCCTCAAAATCCTTTAGTAAGAGAACTCCTTTGCTATATTGGCTGTTGAGGATTGAGGACACACAAGTTGAGAGTCTGACAGATTGGCCCCTGAAAACCAGGGGCCAATACTTTTCTAAGTATTACTTAGAAAAATCCTGCTGCTTCTTGTCGTCATCGTGAGGACAAATATTCTTAGCCGAGGCTCACATTCAAAGAAGTGAATGACTGGGGTGCCTGGGCTGCTCAGTCAGTCAAGCCGGGATCCCAGAGTCCTGGTATCAAGCCCTGCGTCTGGCTCACGACAAGGAGCCTGCTTCTCCCTCCCCCTCTGCCTGCTACTCTCCCACCTTGTACTCTCTCTCTCTTTCTCTCTGTCAAATAAAATAAATTTAAAAATAAATAAATAAAAGTCTTACAGGGGCACCTGGGTGGCTCAGTGGGTTAAGCCTCTGCCTTCGGTTCAGGTCATGACCTCAAGGTCCTGGGATGGAGCCCACATAGGGCTCTCTGCTCTGCAGGGAGTCTGCTTCCTCCTCTCTGCCTGCCTGCCTCTCTGCCTACTTGTGATCTCTGTCTGTCAAATAAATACATAAAAATATTTTTTTAAAAGTCTTACAAAAAGAAAAAATAATGAATAACCTGATATCTTGTAACCGCTTGGCTCTGCAGTTCGCTAGGGACAAACAGCTGTAACAGGAACCCTGTCAGTGGGAATCCTGCCATCCGCCAAAATGGCCTCCTTTCCACTGTTTTGTCTACTCCTCTCAGAGGGTTCTTTCCTCAACCTTGATAGTTTCCTCATGTGTATGTTTAGCTCAGTTCACAAACAAAATCTGGAGAGGATCCTTCTATGAAGCGCCATGGTTATTTCTCTGGGTAACTCCATCCTTTCTGGCTCTCTGGTAATGTTAGCCACTTTGGTCTCCTTGAACTCTCAACCCTGTCTTCTCAATGCAATGATATTGTCAGGCTCTGTTTGGGTTTTCTCTCCCCACAAAGTGGCCTGAAAACTCTAGGCAGTAAGCTGGGCTTCTCACAGGATTTACCTCATTTTTTCCCCTTCTCTCAGGGACCACTCTCCCGTGTGTACTGCTTGCTACATCCATTATCTGAAAACTGTTGCTTATGTATTCTAACCCGTGTTCTACGTGGCAAAGACAGGAGGGTCCTGTTGCACCATCTTGGCCAGAAGTGGACGTTTTTCCCAAGCAGTTTTATTAATTCTTGTTTATAAATAGGTCTTTCAGTGAGATTGGGTGGGTGTGTGTTTTTTTTTTTTTAAGATTCTATTTATTTATTTGACAGAGAGATCACAAGTAGATAGAGAGGCAGGCAGAGAGAGAGGGGAAAGCAGGCTCTCCACTGAGCAGAGAGCCCGACGCGGGGCTCGATCCCAGGACCCTGGGATCGTGACCTGAGCCGAAGGCAGAGGCTTTAACCCACTGAGCCACCCAGGCGCCCCGGGTGTGGTTTTTTTTAATCCCTTCGTTGTTTCTGGCATTACAAAATGTATTTTGCCTTCACTCTTTGATGACAATTTGGTTGGAAATAAAATTCTAGGATTACAGGGAAGTGTTTTATCAGTCTTACTGTCATTCCATAGGCAAAATCGGTTTCTTTCTCACGTCGATGGTAGCCTTTACAATTTGCTCTTTATCCTTGATATTTTGTAAATATCCATATGATATGCCTCAGCACATGTTTATTTTATTAGTACTAAGAGTTTGTTTTTTAAAATCTGAAGTCTAATGTCTTTTATCAACACTTTAAAAATCTTAATATTTTCAGACACTGTTTCACCATCATTGTCTTTGTATTTTTCTAGAATTCTAATTATACATGTTAGGGCTTTCAACACAGGCTCACTTGCTCAACTTTGCGTGTGTGTGTGTGTGTGTGTGTGTGTGTGTTTCTCCGTATGGCATTCTGAGTGTATTAACTTATTCTGTCTTCAATTATATCTGGGTTAGAGCTCTTACTTTTTATTTTCACTATTTTATTTCTCTTAGTTCCAAAAAACAAAGAGTTCCGTCACTTACTTTTGGAGAAGGCTTTGTCACCCTCTGTTCTAAGCTTGAGGCAATAATAAACAAGTGTCCTTATCAGATTCTCTCTCTTGTTTTCTCATTTACTTAAGAATGTTCTCCCTGGAGAATTTTTTCTTCTTTCCCAGATGTAAGAAACACTGTAAAAACAAAGGTTAAATTTCAGTGTGAAAAGCCAGAGGTGAGGTAAGGGAGAAAAAAAATAACACCTACATTGGAAATCTTCAACTCCTACTGCTAAAAAGTGAGGCATATGTCACAAAAGTTGGTTTGGACGGTCATAGGTTTTATGGTCTAATGCCTGTCTTCTGAGTCTGGAGAGTCAGAGAAAAGGAGAGTTCAGTCTTTTCTGGACTGTTCTTCCCTCCTTTAACTGTCAGTTTAACTCCTATTCATTCTTTAAAACCCAGGCCAGAAAGATATCAGTCTTGTTCTCTGGGAAACCTTATGTATTAGTTTCCTATGTCTGCTGTAACAGATTACCACAAACTTGGTGACTTAAAACACCACAAATTAATTTTCTCACAGTTCTGGAGACCAGACGTCTGAGATCAATTTCACTGATTTGAAGTTATCAGCGAGACCTTCTGAGGACTCTAGGGAAGAATCCATTTCCTTGCCTTTTCTAGCTTCAGGAGGCTGCTTGCAGCCTTTAAAAAAAAAAATACACACACACACACACACACACACACACACACAATACACATACACATATTATCTATTAGAAAGAGAGAGTACACAAGCGGGGAGAGGGGCAGAGGCAGAGAGAGACTCCTCAAGCAGACTCCCCTCTGAGTGTTGATCCTAGGACTCCAAGATTGTGACCCCAGCTGAAATAGAGTCAGATGCCTAACCGACTGAGTCACCCAGGCGCCCCAAGTATTGTAACTTTTTTGTTTATGCAGCTATCTTCTCAAGTAAATAGGAGCTCTTTGAAGACAGGAACTTTGTCTTATTCATTTGTTACTCTAATGATTAGTGTGGTGCCTGGCTCATAGTCACCACTAAATAAATATTTGATTCAATTGAATTTTGCTCTCTGATTCAAGCCTGGAAGTACAACTGTAAGCTGTAAAATAATGGAGTCTTAGACTGCCCATGCTAAAGGGGTCTCCAATGACCTTTCCTTATAGTCTGAGTCTGTGTTTTCTCTGGACACAATTTTATACCTAGGGAAGTTGTCTTTATTACTACAGCAAAGGTAAAAACAAACAGAAAAGGTTTACATTAGGGTTTTGGCCCAGAAAAGGCTGTGGGATGACTTGGTAACTATTTTAAACTCCCAATATTCCTGGGACACAAGACAGATAGTACCTTTATGCCAGTAAAACAGAGCAAAATAAATTATAGATGAATTTGACTTAAGTATAATTGAATACAATTGTGGAAATAAAATAATTTCAGGTGAATTATTAATTTACATGGGGTGTCTGGTTTTTTTATTCTCCAGTGCCTCTATTTATTTATCCATTATGTTTAACTTAGAAGTTGATTCAATTTCTTATGACATGACATAGAGGTATAGAGTTAAATGTTCTTATTTAATTAAACAGCGAAGCTCAGAGGCCTAAGTTATGAGGCAATGACCCAAGGAATCATTCCTAGACAGGGATAAGTTATGCTAGTTTGATAGTTTTTACCCCTCAGCCTAATAACAGGCCAGGCTACTTGCATCAGAATCGTCTGGGAAGATTATTAGACATAAAGATACTCAAGTCTCTCCCTGCCCTCCCCCTACCAGATTTGGATCCAGTTAATCCCAGGAAGGTCCTGGAAATGTGTATGTTTTAAAGTACCTTAGGTAATTTACAATTATCAAGAAGTTTAGGCTTCTCTTAATATGAGATCCTAAAGGAATGCCAAGCTTGAGGCGAAGGAGCATTTTTATTCTTTTATATAAAAGAATTAAAGTATTTTATTCTTTTATTCTTTTGATTTTATTCAGTTTGAAAGAGGCTCTTTTGGAATAAAGGGTCCATATCATGTGCCTACAGGAATGATCAGATTGGAGGCAAGACTAGTGAGTCTCACATTGAAGAAGAAAAGCTTGGAACAGAAATCTAACAGATTTTCCAATTGCCTTGATCTATGGAAACCAAAATCTTGAAAGAGTCTGGACAGTTTTATTGAGGTATGACTTTCGTACTATAAGATTCACTCACCGTGAATTCCAAGATTTTTAGTAAATCTGTAGAGCTGTGCAGGCAGCATGTCAAAAGGCAAGCTGTAGTCCACCCAGAAGATGAGGTCAGCAGGTCACTTGACAAGTTTAGAATCAGACAAATAGATATGGATAGTCTCAAAGCATTGCCTTTCTTTATTCTTTTTTTAAATTTAAATTTATTTTTTATTTTTAGAGAGCACACATGAGAGGTGGGGAAAGGCAGAGGGAGAGGAGAGAGAGAACCCCAAGGAGGCTCCATGCCCAGCGCAGAGCCCCATGCAGGACTAGATCCCACGACCCTGAGATCATGACCTGAGTCAAAATCAAGAGTCAGATGCTCAGTTGACTGAGCCACCCAGGAACCAGTGCCTTTCTTTATTCTATGATTATTTAATAAATTGTTTCTTTGTTAAATATTACGTCTTCTTTGAAGAAAAAGTGTGTGCTACCTATGTAGGTCACAAAATTCAAAAGGAGACTGTCACCCAGTCATCTGGTTTCTATTCCCAATAATTTGATTCTTGAGGTGGATTACTGACCTTCAGTAGGAATATTTAGGTATATTAAGTTCTAATGTGACAGTGGAGTACCCGATCTGTCTTGGAGTTTGGCAAGAAAGAGTGCTAGAGATAAATATAAATATTATTCAGTGATATACTCAATGGATATATTTTCTAAAGCATGGTATAGAGAGAACAAAGAATTTAACTCTGACCACAATAACAAGCACCTTAATAGTTAGAAGGGAAGGATAGAAAACAATAAGAGAAAAATTAGGGTAAGTTGAAAGAGAAATGAAATAAATCAGTGTTAGGAAAAGCAGGAGAGCTGTTCAGTGATCCCCAATGCTAAAGAGGTCATGCAGAATGAAGATTGAGAAAGGATTTTGGGAGTGGAAGTTATAATAAACAGAAAAAAAGCTTTAGCAGAGAAAGAGGATGGGATTCACATTGCGAGAGATTAGGAAGACAATGGGATTTTTCTAATATACAAAGAGGTCTTACAAGCCAATAAAAAGATAACCAACCCAGTTAAAAAAAAAAAAAACAAAAGTCACAAAGAACATGAGCAGGCAAAAAATGGAGGAGGAAATACAACTGGGCAATAAACATATGAAAACAATGGTGCTGGGACAACTGGACATCTATATGCCAAAAAAAAAATGAATTTAGACACAGCACGTACACACCCCACAAAAATTAACCCAATATGGAGTATAGAACTAAATAGGAAATGCAGACCTCTACTACTCCTAGAAGATAATATAAGAGAAAACCTAGATGACCTTGAGTAGGCTGATGCCTTTTTAAATAAAACACCAGTGACACAGTCCGTGAAAGAAATAATTGATAAGCTGGACTTCAATAAAATTAAAAACTCTGCTCTAAAGACAATGTCAAGAGAATTAGAAGACAAGACACAAACTGGGAGAAAATATTTGCAAAAGACACATGATAAAAGACTGTTATCCAAAATATACAAAAAACACTTAAAACTCAGCAAGAAGAAAACAATCTTATTAAAAAATGGGCCACAGACCATAACAGACACCTCACCAAAAAACATACACAGGTGGCAAATAAACACATAAAAAGGTGCTCCACACCATTTGTCATCATGGAAATGAAAACTTCGAAAAATGAGATACAGGAGCACCTGAGTGGCTCAGTCAGTTAAGTATCTGCCTTCAGCTCAGGTCATGATCCCAGGGTCATGGGATTGAGTCCCACTTTGGGTTCTCTGCTGGGTAGGAAACCTGCTTCTCTCTCTGCCCCCCTCCTTGCTTGTGTACTCTTTCTCTCAAATAAATAAAATCTTTTTTAAAAAGTGAGATATTGGGGCACCTGGGTGGCTCAGTGGTTTAAGCCTCTGCCTTTGGCTCAGGTCATGATCTCAGGGTCCTGGGATCGAGCCCCACATCAGGCTCTCTGCTCGGCAGGGAGCCTGCTTCCCCCTCTCTCTCTGCCTGCCTTTCTGCCTACTCGTGATCTCTCTCTCTGTCAAATAAATAAATAAAATCTTTTTTAAAAAAGTGAGATATCATAACACATCTATGAGAATGGCCAAAATCCAGAACACTAATACCAAATACTGGTGAGGATGTGGAGCAACATGAACTCTCATTCATTGCTGGTGGGAATGCAAAATGGTACAACCCACTTCGAAGACAACCAGCTAGTTGTGGTTTTTTTTTAAGACTTTATTATACATATATATGTAGATATTTATAAGAATATATATACACACACATACACACATATATAAATATATATATTTAAGATTTTATTTTCTATATGTGTATATATACAATGGAATATTACTCAGCAATCAAAAAAAAAAGAAATCTTGCCATGGTATTATGCTAAGCAAAGAAAGACAATTACAGGATTTCACTCATATGTAGGATTTAAGAAAATAGAGGAGCATAGGGGAAGAGAGGGAAAAATAAGATGAAATCAGAAAGGCAGACAAACCATAAGAAATTCTTAATCATAGGAAACAAACTGAGGGCTGCTGGAGGGGAAGGGGGATGGGTTAACTAAGGTGAGATGATGGGCACTAAGGGGGGCACATGATGTGATGAGCACTGGGTGTTATATACAACTGATGAATCACCGAACTGTACCTCTGAAACTAATAATACACTCTATGTTATTTAATTGAGTTTAATTAAAAATAAACTTCATAAATTACCTATTAAAAAAAGAAATCTCACTTCTTGATATTTACCCAAAGAAGTTGAAAGCTTACATTCACACAAAAACCTGCACACAGATATCTATGGGCAGTTTACTCATAATTGCCAAAAGTTAGAAGCAACCAAGATGTCCTTTAGTATGTGAATGGATAAAATAAACTGTGGTACATCTAGATCATCGCATATTATTCAGTGCTAATAAGAAATGAGCTATCAAGCAATGAAAACACACAAAGGATCTTTAAATGCATATCATTAAGCAAAAGAAGGCAACTTAAAAAGTTGGTAGGATTCCAACTACATGATGTTCTGGAAAAGGCAAAACTATAGAGATATTAGTACTAGTGGTTGCTGGGGATGGGAAGGCAGAGCACAGAGGATTTTTAGGGGAGTAAAAATGCTTTGTATGATAAATGATGGATATATGTCATCATATGTTTGTCCAAACCTATAGAATGTACAATACCAAGAGTGAACCTCATAGTAAACTATGGATTTCGGGTGATTATGATAAGTTAATGTAGGTTCATCCCCAGTAAAATGTATACCATTCGGGTGAGTGATATTGGTAATGGGAGAGAAGCTATGCATATGGGCTACAGTAAATATATAGGAAATCTCTGAATCAGCTCAAATATTTTTTTAAAGATTTTATTTATTTGACAGAGAGAGAGAGAGATCACAAGTAGGCAGAGAGGCAGGCAGAGAGAGGGGGAAGCAGGCTCACCGCTGAGCAGAAAGCCTGATGTGGGGCTCGATCCCAGGACCCTGAGATCATGACCCGAGCCAAAGGCAGAGGCTTAACCCACTGAGCCACCCAGGCACCCCGAATCATCTCAATTTTGATGTAAACCTAAAACTACCCTTTTTTTTTTTTTAAAGGATTTTATTTATTTGAAAGAGCACACAAGTGCAAGCAGTGATGGGGGCAGGACAGAGGGAGAGGGAAAGAAACTCTCAAGCACATACTGTCCTCAGCAAGGAGCCCAACACTGGGCTCAAACCCAGGACCCTGAGATGGTGACCTGAGCCAAAACCAAGAGTTGGATGCTTAACTGACAGAGCCACCCAGGGGCCACTAAACCCTAGCATATTCTTTTTTTAATTTTTTTAAAAGATTTTATTTATTTGATAGACAGAAATCAAAAGTAGGCAGAGAGAGAAAAGGGGAAGCAGGCTCCCTGCTGAGCAGAGAGCCTGATGCGGGACTCAATCCCAGGACCCTGAGATCATGACCTGACCCAAAGGCAGAGGCTTAACCCACTGAGCCACCCAGGCACCCCTAAGCCCGAGCATATTCTCTTTTTTAAAATTAATTAATTTATTTATTTGACAGACAGAGATCACAGGTCGGCAGAGAGGCAGCCAGAGAGAGAGGAAGGGAAGCGGGCTCTCTGCTGAGCAAAAAGCCCGATGTGGGGCTCGATCCCAGAACCCTGGGACCATGACCCGAGCCGAAGGCAGAGGCTTTAACCCACTGAGCCACCCAGGCGCCCCAACCGAGCATATTCTTGATATTATTTGATATCTTTTTGAAGAGTAACTTGGCAATATCTATTCAAGTTAAAATGTTCTTAGCTCTTGACTTAGCAATTCCATTTTTAAGGATGTATAAAAATAATTTTCACAAACAAGCAAAGATGTGTGCAACAAGACTTTATTACAGCTTTATTTATAATAAATAATATAAATAAATAATAATAAATGTTGGACATAACCCTGATGCCCCCCTGTTACTAATTAAATGGTGGACAATGGAATACTCTACAGTGGTTAAAAATTAAAGTAATTTAATTTATATGAGCTCAGCTATATGAGCTGCCATGGAAAAAAGCAACAGAGTAAACTGAAAAAGATTATGCAGTATCAGCTTGCTTTCATTTTAAATTATATACACATATATTAATGTATGCATGGGGAAAAAAAGGGGACACATGAATCAGAGTCTTAATTATTTTGGTGAAGTAGGGTTACAAGAGATTTTCACATTCTATAGCAATTGTTAATTCACAATATTCCATAGGATTCTTGGATTAAATGAGTTAATATGTCATAAGGCAATTAAAACAGTGGACCACAGCACATAGAAGCTATTCAATATTGTTACACTATGTTAAATATTTTTGAAATACTTGATTAAAAAATATATCTTATTTATTTACTTGAGAGAGAGAGAGAGAGACAGTGAGAGAGAGCATGAGCGAGGAGAAGGTCAGAGGGAGAAGCAGACTCCCCGTGGAGCTGAGAGCCTGATGTGGGACTCCCATCCCGGGACTCCAGGATCATGACCTGAGCCAAAGGCAGTCGCTTAACCAACTGAGCCACCCAGGCGCCCGAAATACTTGATTTTTAAACATTTTTTAAAGCAGAGAAAAAATAATGAGGTGACGAAAATGCAGTTTTTGAGATTTTTAAACGTGAAAAGTTAAAATAAAAGAGTTAAAAGAGTGAAAGGTTAAAAATAAAATGAGAGCTGGAGGATGCCAGTGGATCCTCTACGCATATTTGAAAGGAGCTAGTTGAAGAGGAAAGGTTGATTAATAAGGACCAGAGAAAAGAGAATGAAATATGATAATATGTACTGATATTTAATGAATGTTTATAGTGGACCAGAGGCTCCAATTGCTTTGGAGCCCACAAGGAAAAAAAAGTTAACCTGGAGAGGAGGAGGAATAACCTTCCTCTGAAGATTAGAACAAAGATATTTAACCTCAACTCTTCTGAAATTATATGCTAAATTTGGTGAACACATGCATTTTTTTAAATATCCAAAATGAGATCCGCAACTTCCAGCAGCTTTCTCTAAGAGTGTGAGTGCTCTCTTTTAAAGGTAAAAGAATCAAAGGATGAAAGATTGCAAAAATAACTATTTTGAGGTGAAGAGTTGAGAAAATAGAGGGCTTCTGCCAGATACGGTATCCTTCTTTATATTAGTTAAGAAGGATTAGAGAGTCCCTTTAAGGGCAGTGAAATTTAGTGATTATGACATTCCCAAGTTGTGACAGTTGATTCATCTTCCTCCCTCCACAACGTATGTCTAATGGCACAGCGAATTTATACCGCTCAGGCTCAGCGTTTAGTTTTCGCAGATCAATGGGCTCACCCAGAATCTTTTCTTTCCACTTACTCGAAGTCAATCCAAATTCTTTCCAAACATCTTTTCAAGGAAGCCTTTGACAAATCTTACTGTTTGAATGCTAGATCTGGCTTCTATCAACTTTTGGTGAATAGCTTAATGTCTCTGATTCATTTTTTTGCATTTGTCAATTAGCACTGAATGATAATTTCGGTTTCTTACGAGGGTCAAACGAGTTATCTGTGAAAACCTCCTGCAAAGTTTTGGCAAATATCCGTGCTACGCAACTTTCAGCATATAGTCAGGAAAATTTTTAAGCTTTCTGAAGAATTGGTGTCCTGCGCAGTCTCGCCCCCCTAAATAATTAAAGTGGGTGGGTGCTCCTCCCGGATTGAGGATGCGTCTTTCGCTCCTTTTGTCTTTTAGTCGGACCAGAACTGTCATGGCGCCTTCAAGAAGAGAGGGAAGGCCTTCCTTTCGCCCATCAGAATCTTCGGGGGCACCTGGACTGGACGAGGGGTGGACAGAGCGATGAGCCCCACTTGATACGAACACACCGTAGCCTCAGAGAGGTCTCGGCCGGACAGGCTCAATGGGAGGAGACAGGGTTGAAGACTATGCCAGCGAGCGACCGTCTTCCCGGGGCACCGCCCATCTCGACCGCCTTATCCAATGGAAACCCAACGGCAGTGCGGCACCGCCCATCTGTTGGTCCGGACGCCGCGAGGGCGGGGCCCGCAGTTCGGTTGCGCTGCGGAGCGCAGCTGTGAGGGAGTCTCTCTGGTCCGCGGCCCCGAACCCGAGCTGGAGCTGAAGCGCAGGCTGCGGGGAGCGGAGTCGGGAGGTGAGCACCGAGGGGACTGAAAGGGAGGAAGGGGCTCGGCGAAGGGAAGGAAGGGTCGGTCTCCGCGGCCCGGGGCGCTGGGACCCTGGCAGGCGGGTGTCTGGTGGCGGCTCTGCTCGCTCGGCGGCCCAGGCCCGGCCCGCCGGAGCCGAGGGGCGGCCGCGGCCCCACGGTCTCTACCGGGCCCGCCCGGCCCGCCCTGAGTGGCGGCGACCCGGAATTCTGCCGGCGCGGAGCGCGAGGCCCTGGCGTTCGTGTCGAACTGGGGCTGACGAGAGGCGGGGCCGGCGGCGGGGGCGGTGGTGGCGGGCCCCGCGGCCTGCGGAAGCGCAGCGTCGGAGCCGCGCCTGCTGGAGGCCGGCGCGCTGACTGCGCGGGGGCGTGGCCTGCGCCCCTGACGGCGCCGCGGGGCCGGCCTTTGATGAGGTGGCGGCCTCTGGCTCCCGGGCCTGCGGGCGCTCCCTTGCAGACAGCGGGCAGGGCGACCTGTTGGAGCGCGAAGCCGTCCCCTGCGATTGCTTGACGTCTGAGCGGACGGTCCTGTGGGTCCCGGAGGCCCTTTGGTCTGCTCGGGGTGAGGGTGGCTCAGAGGCCCGTGGCCTGTGAGCTCTTGCTGAGGAGTCAACATGCAGAGGGGCTGCAGTCCAATAAATAAAAGTCTCCGAGAAAAACTTTGCGCGACGATCTACCTACACTGCTCAGAAGTGAACACAGTATTCTCGGGGTTGCTGGAGGCGGCGAGGAGAGTCCCTTGTAGGGGCGTAAATGACCTTTTCCGTATGTGATCTCTTACACCTCTGAACGACCCTGAGATGAAAACCCCAGCGTTACAAAGATTTTTTCAGCAGGAGGGGAAGTGCTGGGGGATCTTGGGCAGCGCCTTCATTTTGCCTGCTGGGGAAAGATTGGGGAGGGAGAGGACCAGCACATTCCAAGGACGTGTCTGTGACTGGTAAAGGTTTGGCGTCTTTTGTGGTGTTCTGTGGATTAATTGTCTGTGCCCTGAGTTCAGAGGTTTCCTTAGAGCCCATTGGTAACTGGCTTCCTGTATTAGAGCGTCACTGGTATTTCCTATTGTAATCTAGTTGGAAATTTTACTTAGCTGTTCAGATTCAAGAAACAGTCTATAAATATAGCTGCTCTAGGAAATAATTCATATGAACTTTCTTACCATTTTCTTATTTTTCAAGGGAAGGGAAAGGAAGATGATTTCTAAATCGTTTTCGGGTAGATTACTAAGACATACAGATAGTAGCTTTCTTGGCTGGTTGAATACACTCTGTGATGGGCAGGGCCTAGAAAATGACAGGGAAAAAAATATCTTGCCGGATTTTCTCTGTAGTGCGTTGTGGTTCTCTGGTATTTACTAGAATGTCTTCTATTAAGAATCTCCTGATTTGGGTTATACATAGTGTAGGCTGGGGGTGGAGATTGGCAGAAGTGGGTATCCAAGAGTTCTAAAATGAAGGCTTTTCAAGATTGGTTTTGATCAGAGGCTTCTGTATTCTGAGCGGATTTAGAGGAGGAAGTCTACTTTCCAGAATGCCACTTTCATACTGGAGCACTCCTTTGAGCCCAGCACACACAGGTTTCAGCTCCTTCACAGCCTTTGTTCTTAGGGATTTGGAATAACAGTCAGCAGTTGTCCTGTGCCTGTCTGGACAAGCTAATGACATTTATCTTCAGAGAATTGTTTTTCTTCCAAGTAGCCGTGTGCCTTGAAAAAAATATACTACATAGTACTTTTTCCTATAACTGCTATATCTGTAGTTACTCTTTTACTTTTTTAATTTTTTTTTAGTTTTTTTCTTTTTAAGATTTTTTTTTTTTTTTAAGATTTTATTTGTCAGAGAGAGAGGGAAAGAGAGCGAGCACAGGCAGACAGAATGGCAGGCAGAGGCAGAGAGAGAAGCAGGCTCCCCGCTGGGCAAGGAGCCCGATGTGGGACTCGATCCCAGGACTCTGGGATCATGACCTGAGCTGAAGGCAGCCGCTTAACCAACTGAGCCACCCAGGCGTCCCTCTTTTTAAGATTTTATCCATTTATTTTGATAGAAGTACAGTGTGTGTGTGTGGGCACGCCTGGGCGGCAAAGGGGCAGAGGGAGAAGCAGACTCCTTGCTGAGCAGGGAGCCAGATGCAGGGTTTGATCCCAGGACCCCAGGATCATGGCCTGAGCCAAGACAGATACTTAATCAACTGAGCTACCCAGGTGCCCCTTGAGTTACTTGTTCTTGAGGGAATATCTCTGTCAGATCTGTTATCTCAGAGGGTGGAGCTTTGAGCCATGTGAATGAAATGGAAGCTGAAAGTCCTAGATCTGTTTAAATTTGTGGCTCCATGAATGTGGGCACCTCATTTATTATATTCACTATTGTATCTCAAGTACCTAGCCCAGTGCTTGGCCTAATAAGTGCTTAATAAACATTTGTTGAGTGAGTGAATGAAAAAAAATGTTGCTAACCAATACCCCTTTGCACACTCACATCACAGGGAAGGTGAGGTCATCAGGGGTGAAGTCACTAACCACTGCTAGTCACCTGGGCCAGGGGTAGCCTCAGCCTGGACTGGCAGACTTGATCTGCATATAGGAGGGATGGATACCAAATGCCAGAATTCTAGTGGAAAAATTAGCTGAGGGTTTCAGCTGGGTAAATTCGCTGAGAGTGTTACAGGTCCAGCCTTAGGGCTGAATCAGTGGAACCTTTTGGGGTCTGGAGTCATCTGTTCTGAACAAGGCCCATGTAGCTTAGTTCTTGAGCACAGTGGAAATAGAGACAGGTGAGGATTCAGAGGGAAGGCTGTTGGGTGAGTATTGCTGAGAAGGAGTGGGGTCTGTCCCTGATTTGGCTGTTCATTTGGACCTTACTAATGGGGGTTATATTGTCATAAATCTTAGATTTGCCACTCCTGGTGGGTCGTCTTCAACCAAGATAAGTTCCCTTCTCTAGACTAAGAGAGTAATTAATGTTTCAGTGTTCAGACAGGATTAATTTGATTTTGGATTTAAAGGGAGGTGTATGTTTTGTTTTCTTTTGAAACCCAGAGGAGGTTATTAAGATTAGGCGTGAAGGCCAGCATGGAGCTTGAATTCATGACCCTGAGATCAAGACCTGAGCTGAGATCGAGTTGGACGTTTAACTGACTGAGCCACCTAGATGCCTCAGAATTAAATCTTTGTAGATCTGTCCTGACCCTTTCTTCTTTCTCTCTCCATCCTTGCCCCAACCAATGCAGGCCTGAGTGTTCGTTCCAGCATGTCGGAAGGGGAGTCCCAGACAGTAGTCAGTAGCGGCTCAGACCCAAAGGTAGAATCCTCATCCTCAGCTCCTGGCCTCACATCAGTGTCACCTCCTGTGACCTCCACGACCTCAGCTGCTTCCCCAGAGGAAGAAGAAGAAAGTGAAGATGAGTCTGAGATCTTGGAAGAGTCACCATGTGGGAGGTGGCAGAAGAGGCGAGAAGAGGTAAGGTGATGGTAGTGTCACTCTTGGGGGAGTGAATTCTAAGCGCGAAGTGGAAGAGGAAAGCATGAAAGGGGCAGACCAAAGTTTTAACAGATCAGAGCCTAGGAGAGGATGATCATGTGGAATATTAAAATGGAGGGTTTACAAGGTTACTTTAGTAATTCCTTTCCATTTGAATTTCTTCTCAGGTGAATCAGCGGAATGTACCAGGTATTGACAGTGCATACCTGGCCATGGATACAGAGGAGGGTGTAGAGGTTGTGTGGAATGAGGTCCAGTTCTCTGAACGCAAGAACTACAAGCTGCAGGAGGTAGGTGATGGTGAAAGGATGTAGCCTATGTGGTGTTAGAATGCAGGTGTTATGAAACAAGACGAAACCAGAGAGGGAGACAAGCCATTAGAGACTCCTAATCTTATGAAACAAACTGAGGGTTGCTGGAGGGGAGGTAGGTGGGGAGATGGGGTGGCTGGGTGATAGACACTGGGGAGGGTATGTGTTGTGGTGAGTGTTAGGTGTTATGTCAGACTGATGACTCATAGACCTGTACTCCTTAAATAATACATTATATGTTAATTAACTGAACTTAAATTAAAAGAATTCAGGTGTTAAAGAGGAATTGGTGTTGAGAAGCCTATTAGGAGGAGAGTATGTTGGGGTTAGATCATTTCTGGGGAGGGATAAGGAATGGCTTTTCAGAATTATAGTGGTTTCTGAACCCTGTTAATCCCACTCTCTCCCCTGCTTTCAGGAAAAAGTCCGTGCTGTGTTTGATAATCTGATTCAGTTGGAACATCTCAACATTGTTAAGTTTCACAAGTATTGGGCTGACATTAAAGAGAACAAGGCCAGGGTAAGAACTTTTTCTTGAGCTTACCGCAGAGACCAGCTACGTGTATTGTTCTTTTTACATTCAGAGATGAAAATAAGGTAGTTTTGGAACAAAACTGGAATCAGCTGTTGTGGAGATGAGAGCAGGGTTTTGCCTATGTCCTGTGCCTTTTGTCTGGTGATGGGTGGGGCAGAAATGAGCAAACTTTTGTTTCCTTCCCACAGCTCTTCCCCTTCTTTCTTTTCTTTTTCTTTTCTTTTTTTTTGGGGGGGGCGTTTATTTATTTGTCAAAGAGAGAGAGAACACACGAGCAGGGGGAGTGGTAGCCAGAGGGAGAAGCGGGCTCCCTGCTGAGCAAGGAGCCAGATGTGGGACTTGATCCCAGGATCCTGG